CCAACGCTAGGAACATCCTTGGGGGAGCATCAAGAAATTCCAGATGGCAATCACCACCAAAACCCTGCTTTTTTCCCCCTTATATGTACTGTACATACACATAAAAAGGAGCATGGCTTTAAGTACTCAGTCACAGCTGCTATTGTGACATTTTTAAAATCCCCATTCCTGAACATCTTTCTCAGAACATTGTATGAACTGAAGCAGTATACATGTATCCTTGACTTAAAATAGTTCATTTGGTGACTTTTCAAAGACACTAAAAAAAGTGCCATGACTCTTTTCACATGCCTGTTGCAGCATCACCATGCTTATGTGATCAAAATTGACACACTTGGCAACTGACTCACTTTTATGACCAATGCAGTGTCCCAGGATCATGTGATCCCTTTTTGCGACCTCCCTGACAAGCAAAGTCAATGCAAAAGCTAGATTCATTTAACAACCGTGTTACTAATTTAACCCCTGCAGGGATTCGCTTAACAACTGTGGCAAGAAAAGTCATAAAACGGGGCAAAATTCACGTAAGAAAAGTCTCACTTAGCAACAAAAATTGTGGTTGTAGGTCAAAGACAACTTGCACTCGGGTTAATAGCTCATTACTTAAGCAATTGGTTTAAACCACAGATAAAAATGTGGTTTTTCAAAGGTCTTGAAGCTTCTTGTAAGAAGACATTGAGCTAGAGTTTTGCCAGAAGGCACTGCCCAACCCCAATCTCCATGCTGCTGAGAAGAACAAGCTTTTGATCTGCTCCTGTAAGATTCATTGGAGAGGACTAGCAGCTTGGTTAGGGTGTTGGGAACAGGAATTGTCTGGTGGTCACACCTGCTGCTCTGTGAGTGGAAGGGGTGGGGCTATGGGATTCTGAATAGCTTCTCCACATTAGAGAGCACCTGTGCAAGAGGAGAGCTTTTTGCTGGTGGTTTTCCATTGCTGTAAGTGTGTGCTTGATGGAGAGAGGGGTGGGTCCAGGAATTTGAGCCCCAGCATAATTACTCAAATAGCAGTCCATTTTGTTGAAAGGGGAAACTAATTTTCAGAAGTCAATTGGACTGAGGTAATACAGGCAAGTGAGCAGTGGAACTATTTAACTCAAATGTGTGTTGTATTGATTAGACCAGATCCATTAGAGACTTTCTGTCCTGCAATGGACTGGTTTCTCATGACTGCCCTGTAGCCAGTAGTTGAGCTTGTAAAAAATGCTTGTCTGTAATTAAGCTAACCATGGTTTATTCAACTAAACTACTTTTGGGGCACACATAACATAGCTGCATAGGTTGGATTTAAGCAGCATGCTGTTTTAAAATGTGGTAGACTGAGATATAATCCAGTGTGTGGTACCTACACAGCTACCTCTCCTCAGTTACACAAGCCAGCTGTGTGACAATGGCTCAGTCATCCCATTATTCAGGCTAAGCAAGGGGTTGTGAAGCTATGTTTTAGGGGCAGGGAGGACCCAGAATTAGATTAGAACAATAAGGTAAGGAGTAAATGAACATTGGTCCTAAGGCACGCATTTGCTTTCTTTTATTTATGTTTATTGTTGAAAAATGGTTGTGGTAGCTGTTTTCATCTACTGAAAACATACATGTGCTTTTCTTAGGTTAATGATGCAGCAAAGTATCTAACCTCTATGTCTTTGAAATTGAAATAGGTAAATGTGGAAATAAGTAAAAGGGTTTTGCCACCTTCCTTCTCAAATCTTTCGGAGCTGAATTGGAAAGATGTGACTGGAGAGACTTTCTTCAAACTCATAGCTTCCAACTGAGATTACGATTCCCAGCATTGTCTGTCATCTTTTGGCTACATTGGGCTGAGATTTGTAGGATTGAGAATACCAGATTGAGAAAGACTAATCTAAGATATTAATAATAACTGGTATACTTGCATAGGTAGTGAACAGAAACAAACAGCTCTTCATTAAAAAAAAAACTTTGTTGAGTTGCATCTAAATTAATTACCCAGAAACAGTGGCCATTTTAAAAATAGTTTTGCATCCAATCAAAACATTTTGGCAACTTTCCACAACCTGGATTCCTCCAGATAGTTTTGTTACCAGTTTCAACCTAACCTGACCACCTGAAGGTTGTTAATAGAAATGATAAGGAGAGAGAATTAAGAATTATTGGCAATGTAAAATATTATTTTATCTATTGATAGATTTGAGATGTTTTTTTAAACCTAAAATCATTTTTACAGAATCCATAATCCAGGGTGCTCTTATAATTTCCCTAGAATTTAATACTTTTGTAGCTCTCTTTTGAAATAATTTTGAAAAATTAGGGAAATAATTGGTACAGCATTGAATCCTCTAATATTAAAGAAGCATGGCATTAGTATGTTGGCCAATCTTTCTCTTAAAACTCTTCACTACTTGTACCATATAAAAGCACAGAAAAAAGTTGCAGTAAGAATTAAGCATTATGAGAGTTTGCAGTTTCTTATCTTTCTTTTTTGAAAGAACAAGGGAGGTATGTAAGTTTTAGCTACATAATGATTTTTTTTCTGCAAATGAACAATATAATAACGGTTTGCATTAAGTAGAGGAAGCTAAAATGGATCCTACAGAGAAGAAAACATGGGAAAGAAGTTAAACCTTCCCTTTCAGAACATTAAAGTTGAGATAAGTAGTGAATAGCCTGTAGAGAAAGTGGAACTTCACCAGAGTCCTTGTCTCATGACTTGTCTACTATCAAAAGTTTATATAAGATGCTTCATATGTTATTTCTCCCATATATGCCTGTGCACTAGTGTGGGAAGCCATTTTAAGACTCAAAAAGGTTTAGAACTCAGTTTGGAAAAGACCTAGTTTCTTCTTCCAGTATAAAACCATTTTATCAATGACCTCTTCTGAGAATACTGTTGGATTTTGAATAGTGTGATCTGGCTTTGAAAATTGCTTGGTCATAAAACTTAGCAACCTTGGGATACTTACTCCAGTTTAGCAATCTTGGGATAATAGCTTATCATGAAGTATAGTGAAGTATAACCTCAGCCCATTGTCCTTCACTAAGAAGATATAAAGATAAAATAGTTTCCAAAGAAGTACCAAGTCAGTTTACTGCAATGTTTCTCAACATCAGCAACGTTATAATGTGTGGACTTCAACTCCCAGAATTCTCTAACTAGCATTTCTTGTTTTCTGCCTATAGAGAGTTGAATTCCTTTACTCCCCCTTCTAGTTTTATTGCAATATAATGGAGATTATGGAAAAGGGATAGGATTCTAGTTTAGGTAGACCTGTGAGTTTGTTCATTGCACTGTTGTCAGACACACATGAAGAAGTTACATTGAGTGCTATCCTAGCTATTCTAACCCCATGTGGTCTTTGTGTCTCAAAAGTCTACCTTATGCAACTTAGTAGTAACTAGGTTCTGCTTCACTTCCAAAGTTACACTAGATGATTAGCCATGAATGCTAGTGGCCCAGGATATCCTCTAGCCTCTCTCTATGTGGGTGACCTGCATCGAGATGTTACTGAAGCCATGTTGTACGAGAAGTTCTCACCTGCTGGGTCCATCATGTCCATTAGAGTTTGTCGAGATGTTTCCACGCGACGTTCTCTAGGTTATGCGTACATTAATTTTCAACAGCCTGCTGATGGTAAGGACTTTCTTTGCTTGGTTTAATATTAATACTGTATGCAAATGCAATACATATTAAAATACACTTTCTTTTACTATTTTACTCCAAATAGTTTGTCTTTTCTGAGAAGACGTGGTTTCCTCTTCAGTCTTATTTTCCTTTTTCCGATGGAGGAGGGGTGTAATATCCTTTTCAGGGCTAGTAACTTTGAACTAATGTTTCATATATGCTTTATATCAATATTTCTTATTTTTCGTATTTGTATTAACACTCAGACTTGCTTATCCATTTTAAAATGTGACATATTTTTCCAGTTCTTAATGGCAGTCTCTGCTCTCCTGTTAGAAATCTGAATGCTACTTGTTGATCTATTTCAATCTGAAGAAATGGGAGAACAAGTGCTTTTAATTTTAAAAAAATGATTAAAAATAATATTGTCTTGAGGAAGCAAGTGCTGAAACAAGGACCACCTCTTTTACTTATAATCTGCAAATGCAAATGTTAATTTTTAACGCACAAAATTGTCCTTATGGATTTTATTAATGGTGTCAGACACCAACAATGGATCAAATATAAATGTTAATGTTAATGATCACAAATTCAACCTGTCAACATCACTCTAAATTCATACTTTCCGATAGGGCCTTTATTTTCCCAAAATAATGTCTGAAACATCTAATTGACCATGTACAATTTAAGCTTTTCATCAGAAAAAAAAGTTTAGTTAAATAAAAAAATGCAATGAATATGCTGCAGAAGGATATATTTACGTGTTAATCAGTTCTTTATTACCATTTTCATTTTGATCATTTTAAATTTAGGCTTTCACATGCAAACAACTCTGTGAAAACCAGTGATTTCTTACACCCTTATCCCATCTCTTGTTTTCTTGAAAATAATCTATGTTGATAATTCTGAACTATTTGAAAAGTTAGGTGTTGGTGCACTGCAATTTGTGTTTCCCAAGTTTGTGTTGGGTTTATTGGTAAATGAATGTGTTTTTATTTTTCCTTCTTCAAGCTGAACGGGCTTTGGACACCATGAATTTTGAAGTCATAAAAGGTCGGCCCATTCGTATCATGTGGTCCCAGCGAGATCCTGGGCTCAGGAAATCAGGTGTCGGAAATATTTTTATCAAAAATTTGGATGATTCCATTGATAACAAAGCCTTATATGATACATTCTCAACTTTTGGAAACATTCTTTCTTGCAAAGTAGGTGCAACCTTTTCAGAAATCATGAAATATAGTTCTCCTTTTTATGATGCATTTTCATTCAGAAGTCTAAAATATATTCATGCTTGTGTCACTTTTTCTTATCAATGTTCAGCTGCAGTATCTACCTGTTATTGTTTGATCGCTTTCAATTTAACAAGACTTTCAATTATTTTTCCCTTGGGTGAAACATCTAGATCATGGGTGTCACACTTGCTGTGTCACATTGATGTCACATGATGTTTCATGACATTTTTTCCTTCGCGGAGCTGGGGTGGGCGTGGCCTGCGTATGAGGCATCTGGCCCATGGGCTGCCAGTTTGACACCCCTGATCTAGATCATTTCCCCACTTTCTTGCAGCATCTTTTCAGAATAGGACAAGAGATTATGGTTTTTCAGTTGTCAGAATTACTAGAATGGCTCCAGAAGAGCAGCTGATTTTGAGGGAGCGAATTAGATTAGATTCAACATATTGTTTCCTCTTCTCCCTGGAACTGGGAGCTCTAGAACTTTATAAACCAGGGNCTTTTGTCGGTGAACCGATGCCATATGGTAAATAAAATAAAAATTAATTGCACTGTTGTAAGCATCACCTTGACTGGTTTGATCATCCTGTCCAGGGTGGACAACCCTTTCTATGCTGAGAATCATGGGCTCAGTGGACTTTGTTTTAATTTTCCATTCAGGTAATGACGGATGGCGGACACAGCAAAGGCTTTGGGTTTGTATGTTTTTCTTCTCCAGAAGAAGCAACCAAGGCTGTGACTGAAATGAATGGACGCATCGTCAGCACTAAGCCTTTGTATGTCGCCCTTGCCCAACGGAAAGAGGAGAGAAAAGCCATTCTCACCAATCAATATATGCAGAGGCTGGCCACCATGAGGACCTTTCCTGGTCCCCTCCTATGTTCTTTCCAGCCTTCTACGAGCTACTTCATGCCCTCAATTCCACAGGTAAGACCTATAAGAATACCGCTTCCATTAAAAATGCATAAATAAAGCTAATAGCATTTGACAGCTTAGAACTCAAGGAATAGGAAAACACTTCTCCCTTGAGATGCATATTTTAAAATGTGCCATCAAGCATCAGAATCAAATTTATACCTGCAACGTGTGAGTGATTAGGATGGACTACTTTTTCCCCCCAACCTGGGGCTCTGTTTTGCTTTTGTGCCTGCCTGGAAGCACAACTGATGTCATGGCATTACCAGGTAGACAGGAGAATCATTTGGGAGCTTTTTTTGTTTTGGGGACAGAGATGGGAGTGAGATGCATTCCCTTTAATCTTCACAGAGAGAGATAAATGGTTTGTCTAATCGTTAAAATATTACAATGAAAAACTGGAAGGAAAATTAGATTTTTGGTACCATGTAACCCTAATTTAAAATTTTGTTAGTGCTTATTATCATTCTTATGGGTATTATTTCCACAAGGTAATTAGGCACTCTGTGAAGAGGTATTATTTCAGTTTGTCAAAATCTAATCAGCTTTATTTGAATCCCCTCAAATTCTCCTGTTAGAGGGGAAGTCTGCGAAACAAGCTATGGATTGTTTCAAATAAAAAACGAAGTGAATTGTTGCATGTGAAGAGAGGCTTCATCATTCATCATTCATCATGCTCTGATGGAAATCTGTAGTCCATTCCATTTGAAATTCACTAGGTTGACAAAAGCTTCGTATAGTCATGTCCAGCAAGTAACATTATTCAATTAGGCATATAACTAGACTGGGAAATAAAAAGAAGACAATAGCAAAACATTTTCATATTGTTGCTATAAAACCTGTCTGGATATGTTAATGAATTCATCATCAATCATTGAGTTAGAGCTGAAACTCCCAATCTGGAGGCACCAGATTGGGAAAAAGTGCCTAGATTTATAACCCTATTGCAGGATAGCAACAATCTATAACAGCTGATGGTGAACCTATGGCACATGTGCCACAGGTGGCATGGGAGCCATTTCTGAGGGCACGCCAGGCATTGCCCTATCAGCTCCAGCACGCATGGATGTGCTAGCCAGCTGATTTTGGCCTTGATTTTTAGCCATTTTTCTCCCTCCGGAGGCTTCAGGGAAGTGGCCTGAAGCCTCCGGAGGGAGAAAAATGGCTAAAAATCAAGGCCAAAATCAGCTGGCTAGCACATCCATGCGTGCTGGAGCTGATAGGGCAATGCCTGGCGTGCC